TTGAGAAACTGGTCTCCTCTGTCCCCAGACGTCTATTGAGTGTTGTATGAAGAAGGGGGGATGCCACACAGTGGTAAAAATGGACTTGTCCCAACTTTTTTGGGATTTGTTGACGCCATGAAATTTGGAAACAACAGATTTTTCCCTTAAAATGATACATTCTCTCAGTTTAAACTTTTGATTTGTGTTCTATTCTGAATAAAATATTAGATGTTGGCACCTCCACATCATTGCATTCAGTTTTTATACACAATTTGTTTAGTGTCCCAACTTTTTTGGAATCCAGTTTGTAGATTATTCATAACAAACAAATGAATAACGAAATAGCTTTCTAGCAATGGTATACTTGATTATTCAAATCTGTGAAACTTTTAAAAAGGCAGATTTTTGGACTGGTTCTGTTTGTGGAGTAGTTGAAATTGTGTCTTAATTACCTTTGGTGTATATCAAGCAATATTATTGTGATGTATGATCACTAGAAAGGCATTCAAGGTCTTTTGTCCTACCAGAATGAGATGGTCAGAATGGTCCAACAACTGCTTAAAAATGGTACCAGTCCAGATGTTCTGGTGACTGAGAGGCTGAGTCTTCCTCACAGTTCACCTGTCATCCTAGAGGGACGAGGGTCCATATGGGAGTCAGCTGGGATTTTTCCACTCAGCGGTTCGATGGCTCTGGTAACAAATCTCAGGTTAATGCCAGGTTCTGCTTCTGGTTCTCTTTATTCCCAGGACATCTCACTAGGAGGAAGTTTCTTCTCTGAAGTTTGCTCGAAGTTTAATGCTTGAAGAAGATGTGTTGAAGAAGATGTGATGACGTAGAGTGAAGAAGTATAAGTGAAGAAGTAGTGTAGAAGTGAAACTTAACTTAACAGTCTGTGTGTTAAGCCTCCAGTATACTGCCGCGTACATCCGTTCATGCGTACGTACGCGTGTACTGTACGCAGAGAGTTCAGTCATTAAACTCCAGCGTACACCCTGAGCAGCTGCAGAGCAGCTTCACAGACAAGGGGCGTTTACCTTCGGGACAAATTGAGGTCGCTGATTGGTCATTTGCTGACACGCCTACTGGACTGATTGACAGGTCGGGGAAAAAAAAAAAGAGCGTTGGCAGCCTCAGCCACAGCGGTGTTCTGTGTTTATATGTTGTTAATAAAAATATCTGAAAAAAACAAAAAAAAAAAAAACAGGGAGCGCTGGCTCTACAGCCCACACATCAGTCCAGCACACCAGGAAATCTCCAGACTCTCCCAAAGCCACGCTGGACCTGAGTTTAATTCACTCGTGACAAATTCCTTCATTTCTCACTATTTCAGTCATTGCATCAACAGAGGAGGAAGAGATCACTGCCTCTTGGCAAAAAAAACTAAAGAAAAGGCCAGATCAGAGATGAAGAAGGGGAATTTAATACATTGGTGTCACATACAAAACAGTCCGTTGCTGAGGAAGTTTATTGTGCGACACCGCATACGCGTATGCAGTCGTAAAAATTTGAGCTTTGCACAGACATGCCCTGGGGGGTACGCTCGTACCTCTGCATACGTACGTGCGTACCTCTGCATATGGATGTACGTGGCAGTATGCTGGGGGCTTTATAGACTGACTTTGGTCCACACCTCAGAAGAGGGGGGGGTCCTAACTTTTTGTCATGTTTTATAAAGTCACAGTCCATTTTCTCTGTCTGCCTTTAAAAAGTCACTCTTCTTTT